TGTGACAGATTCTACACAGCAACTGCTTTTCCAGCACTGCTTGTGGGTCAAGAGAAACAGGAATACTTCCTACCAACCAGGGCCCTTCCGCCTCAACTGAATGCAATTGGACCCCTACCGTATTCACTCTCCCCAGCACCAAGTGATCTATCTCAGGCAAGTCAAATTTATCCCCCACACTATCGACACTGTTCTACAATCTCTCAGCACCTTCCAGTTCTCTGCTTCCTCCCTTGGTGCTGCCTCCTAAACTTACAGCAGTCAGCTCGTAATCTAATTGGTGGATAAATGTCTCAAAATATTTAGATCAGCTCCTGACAGTATTTTTGGCAGGAGGCCCAACAAACTTGCAATGTCAGGGGTCCCAGCTACGACACGTTCTCCCTCCCTCATGAACCCCTCTATCAGCACCCTGTAAATATCAGACCGATTGTTTCTGGAGATTGATTTGAACTGACCCATTTGAAGTCCAGGCTGTATCCTGTTCCGAACAAGGTGAAACGGTTGTAATAACCTACCCCCTCACCAGCGTCTTAAAAACAGCACTTATAATCGGCTCTCTGATGTCTGCTTCCTAGTCAGAACGTGTCAAATTTGCATAAGACAGTTATGAGCTGTTAATTATGCTGGTCGTCTCCCATCTCATTCACAGTAGTTGACAATGACTTGGACACTTAATCAAGAAAGGTTACTCTTCGCTCCTTCCTGCTAAAGAAAAACCAGAAAACTAAAACAAAAGCATCACATTCAAAATGACCACCTGACAGAACATAAACAAAAGTCTCAGAGATAGTAGGAAGAAGGGTCCAGACCTGAAACGTTAGCTTTCCTGCTCCTCTGGTGCTGCCTGGCCTGCTGTGTTCATCCAGCCCTACACCTTGTTATCTCTAAACAAAAGTCTTGCAGTCAGTCAAAGGCACCAATTCATTTGGCTAACGTGATGTGCATGTCTCTAAGATTTTAGAGTAGATTTGTAGCTCGGGTTGTGGATGTTGTGGTTGGTTAGATTGCTGAGCTCCTTCGTTGTTCCGCAGATGTTTCATTGCCCTGCTGGGTTATTGATGTGGAGATGCCGGTGTTGGACTAGGGTGGACAAGGTCAGAAATCACACGACACCAGGTTATAATCCAACAGGTTTGTTTGAAAACGCAAGCTTTTAGGGCGCTGCCCTTTCATCAGGTGAAGTGGCATTTAGTTAATGTGGCATATCATTTTGGCTGCGCATATTCAAATGCTGCAACCCCACCCACCATGTACAGGATTACAGGGATAGGGTGAGTAAAAGGCATTATAGTGTTTGATCTGCCATGATTCTCCCAAATAGCAGGATAGGATTGATGGGCTGAATAGCCCACTCCTCTTCCTAAGTCAGGTTTCTGCTCAAGCTCCTGTCTTCTGGACTTGAATATGACTGACACGATTCTACCATTTGCTGCTACATGCTCAGACACAGAATCACAGGATTGTTACAGAGCATAAGAGGCCATTCAGCCCATTGTGCCTGCACCGGTTCTTCAGAAGAACATCATTACCCAATGCCAGTCTCCTGTATTTTCCCCACACCTTGGCATGCCATTTCTTTCCAAATAACCATCCAAAACCCTCCTGAATGCTTCAGTTAAACCTAACTCCACCACATTTCCAGGGAGTGCATTCCAGACCCTGATTATTTGCTGTGTTAAAAAAACCTGTTTGTCACATCACATTCGCTAAAATTACTTTAAAGTCTATGCTGCTCTGAGGTTGTAGACCTGCTCGCCGAGCCGGTGTGTTTGGTTGCAGACGTTTTGTCACCCTGCTGGGTAACATCATCAGTGCACCTCTAGTGAAACGTTGGTGTTCTGTCCCACTTGTTATTTCTATGCCTCGGTTTGCTGGGGTGGTTGGCATCACTTCAGTTTTGTTTTTCAGTGGTTTGTATAGCGGGCCCAGTTCAATCTGTTTGTTGATGGAGTTCTGGTTGGAATGCCAGGCCTCCAGGAATTCCCTGGCATGTGTCTGTTTGGCTCGTGCTATTATGGATGTGTTGTCCCGGTCGAATTCATGTCCTTCTTTGTCCGTGTGTATTGAGACCAGTGAGAAATGGTCGTGTCTCTTGGTGGCGAGTTGATGATCATGTATCCTTATTGTCAGTTTTCTTCCGGTCTGGCCTATGTAGTGTTTCTCACAGTCCTTGCATGGTGAATGGGGTTGAGAAACATATCAGCCATGATCGAATGATAGGCTGAAAGGACTAATTCTGGTTTAATGGTCAATTACTCAATCTCACTGAACTGCATTGCCCGCTCACCTGGTTGAACCTAACTAGATTTAGGCAGAGGTGCAGTAACAGTTCAAATCAGAGCCTAATACCAAAGCTGCTGCCATTTGGCTTTTTGTATGTTCAACCCTCAGACCTCCTCATTCCCTGGGGGGATCCCACACATTTAAAAATACATCAGTTTCAGTGCGCAAGGCACACACTCCTGACTAAGTTCTTCATTTAGTCACGAAAGGGACAAAATTACTGGCTAACTTGGTCAATCCCTTTTAGTCAAAAGAAACACTTGATTCACAGCCTGGTGTTTTTGTTTTAACCAATAAGGCGACAACTGAGCCGGTCCTTGTCTTTGAACAAAAACAGAAGTTACTGGAAAAGCTCAGCAGGTCTGGCAGCATCAGTGAAGAAAAAGGTCAGAGTTAACTTTTTGGGTCCGGTGACCCTTCCTCGGTCCTTGTCTTTGGCCAGTTTCAGTTACTGTTTGACCCAGCAGCATGTGGAACAAGGGAATACATGCAGAACCTACACAATTAAACACCTTCATCTTTCAGTAAGCAAAGCTCCAAGTCTAAAAGGGTCACATTAGAAACAATCTTTGTGGCTCAATAAAGATCAGAAATCCGATCCAAGCTTCGTTACGCCGACAATTACAAAATGGAGTGAGGCTTGGAGCAAAGGAGCCTCCTGATAAATCAACCGTTAATTTCTTTCCTTGGAAAGAACTACTCTTGTTACTTTCCTTGGAGATAGTAGGAACTGCTGATGCTGGAGTCTGTGATAACAAGGTGTAGAGCTGGATGAACACAGCAGGCCAGGCAGCATCAGAGGAGCAGGAAAGCTGACGTT